ATTTTTTAGTGTTTGCTCATCTGCAATACGTCAGACGTTTCTTGTCAGATGTCAAATAGACATTTATTAGAATGCATGTAAAACTGCTTCCAAGACGTTTATCAGATTACACAGCAGATGTTTCCCAGATCTTTAGCAGACGTCTTACAGATGTACTTGTGCTGTCTAGGTAGTGGAGATGCAGATAAAATTAACTTTTATTACTGTCATTCATAATGTCTAAATATAATTTAATAAATACAAAAAATATATATTAGGGAGTGGAAATGGCTAATAAGCCTATAAGTACTTCTCTGCAGCCATCTACTAGTGGTAATTTAATGTCTTTTTTATTTTTAAATAAGTGTTTGCTTTCCTACATCATGAAACTTTTAGTTTTATAAATGGGGGCAACCTATGAAGGATGAACAAATAATGTCATCACACTTAAAATAACTTTCAAATTCGGTAATACCAAAGACTATAGAATACCTAATGCCTTAAAGGGACTTTGGTAATACTTAAAGCTTTGAAGTGCTGGGAAAAGTTGTCAGGCATTTAAAAACACTCGAAAATATTAGACCATTTCTGCCACAAGTTGTTCCTGTAGTTTTACTACGTTAAATCCATGGTGAATGGTGGTGATTTGTGTTTATTGAACAATGTTTTTCCTGGTTTCCACATCAGTGGTGTTTGTTCTGATATCAGCTTTAGCAGAATTCTGCGCCGAATTTGAATGCTTTTTACAAGATTTCACAGAGATGTTATTGATTCTGCGGCGAATTCGACTGCTTTCTTCACTGTATCTCCCAGCGCTGCGTATAACGGTGTCACGTGATCGAGATCAGCCCGCGGCTCCGGCCCGAGCAGATAAACGGTCTACGCTGCGAGTAGCGCAGATTCGTTCCGCTTTCGGTTTGTTTGTCCAATGTAGCTCTTGTAAATCGGTCATGATGAGAACGCAAGGCTGTTCATTCCATTTTTGGAACCTTTCTTTGACTGAATGCGCATTGCGATGAAGTCACGAGACGCGTCTAAGCCCAAAATCTGCGGAAAATCTGTGGCAATTACGAAAATTTGCGAGCTCTTGCGGAAATTGTGGAGTTTGCTTGATTTTGCGATAAATTCAGCGATCGCAGAATCGCAAAATCCTGGAGGGACTGCATAATATGGACTATTGCTGTGATACTGTGATACTCAGATACTGTGATTTCCTTCTCACATTGCTGATTTCACCATTAACTCTTCATCTGAACAGTTTATGTGCTGTATATGTGATCATTGTAATCCTTGACCATCAAAACATAGGGGTAGACATCGCCTTTTCTGTGTTATCATGTTTGGTTCAGGAGATATGACACAAAATACATAATTTGGTTATGGCGGAATGTAAAATGGTGGCCATGGCAACCACGAGGTGTTTTTTGTGATGGCTCCATTTCTGAAAATGTTTAGGGCCGCAAACTATACAAGTGTACCAAGTTTCATGCTTTTATGAAAAAGTGAACATTATTTTCACATCACCTGGACTAATAGCTTAATCACAAAAAATACTGTAATTATATTCCATTACTCCTCCTTCAATAATACATGTCTACATTAATAATATAATAAAATTTGACACACCCACATATCGTGACAAAATACCATGGTGTAGTTAGTGCTACAACAGTAAATTAATGGTTAATGATGGCGATTTGTAGATTAAAAAGTCTTCTGACTATATCGTTGCGCACAGTGTTTCTGCTGTTTGCCAGCGCTGTTTCATCTGGCTGTAAACAGTTATTTGTGTTCCTCGCTGAATTCAAGTGCTTCACACTGGATCTCACAGCGCTGTTCAGTGTCGTGTGAGCGAGACTCATCAGCGAGTGAACAGCGAATTAGAACTTTGATTCGAGTGGATAAAAGCTCCGAGTAGCGCGCTTCATATGACTAGCGCTCTTTCGTTCCGCCTTTGCCGCTTAAACATTATATCGAACATTTATCGAACTCTTGTTATCGTTTATCGAGGAAATTTATATCGCGCGATAATTATCGTTAACGATTTATCGCCCTGCCCTAACCTCAGCGTCTGAACTGTCATTGCGATCCATTGTTTTCCTATTGTTTAAATTGACTGCGCTTGCTCAGTTACGTCACTTCCAGTTTGGCATTTTTCAGATGCGGAAGTAAAATTTTCTAAAAAATGACCCCAAAAGGCTCAGTAGCATATGTATAAGTATATTTTAAAGTCTAGTAACCTACATTATTTTTCTAAACATTGACCCACTGATATTTATATTTATTTTAAGGAAAAATGACTGATAAATAATTCAAAAACGTAAAATGTTTGTCATGTTCTGACCATAAAGAGTAGTTTAAAACCACAAATAACTGTCTGGTTTCTACAATGTTCACTTTGGAGCAAAAATCTGCATTTAAACTTTTTTGGGGGGCCAAATCGCCCAGCACTAATTCCTACTCTTCGAGAATATACAGAGGAATATTCCTTTTTGGGAAATAGTGTTGAAATATCTTAGGAAGTGGTTGGGATATAACCTCCTGCTTTCACCTAGCTGAAGGGTCTTTTAGGAGACAAAACTAAGATTCCTCAGAATAATAAAAATGACCCTGGTTACCAGTGACGCCTGCAGGTGTACGGCTGTACGCACTGTGCGTACCATGAGCGCTCAGACTGTCCTGAGATTCGCCCCGCAAACATTTCAGCAGTTATTATGTGTGTCCCGTGTTTCTGTCGACTGAACCAGCCATGCCATTAATTATAAATTTACGTTCTAACTGCTCTCTCTCTGTTTCACCGTTAGTAGCCAGATCTCATGAAAATGTGTAGGCCTATCAGTAGCACGATTTTCTGCCCGCCAAATTCAATTTCTGTGTATAAATATTACGCCAAATAGAAACAAAATATCGCGCTATGAGATCTGGTTAGCCTACAACAATTAATTTTCACAATAAAAACAAAACATTGCGCTTTTGTAAAATAAAGAAAACAAATAGGGTAAGCTTTCAGCCTTCTCGGTTTCCTTGAATTTGTATCACAAAAATTAAACTGAATCTGTGTAGACTTGTCATGCAGTTTTTTTTAATTTGGTTTTGTTTATATGTTCGTTATTTAAGTGAAATATATTTGTTTAGGACTGTTTATTTTCTTCCTTTTATATATGCGGTTTTATTCTGTTTTTCTCCCTACACAAGCGCTGCAGGTGCGTGATGTGACTATGTGTGGATCCTTATAGTTCTGATATTTGTGCTGCAATTTGCTCATGCACTAACTTTTAATTTAATTTAGGAGAGGTAACTTTAAGAAAATTAAGATGTGTCGTCAGAACACATTTGCACCTGCAGATTTTATGTTTTTCTTTTTTTCAATCATGAATATGTACTTTAGAGCCCTGCATTTCAGCCCATAAGGAGATATTTGAATTACTTATTAATGAGTCAGTTTCGCAAAGATGAAGTTGGCGATCTTGACTCGCCATCTCCTCTTGGACGTGCCTTTAGAGAGAAATGCATATTTACAGATTACATATTGAAAGAGTTTTTGTTTTCGATTTGAATGATTTCGTTTTAAAGTAGTAATTTAAAGATTTCAATATATATATATTTCCATAGAGTTTCAGGTCATTTTTGTGAAGCGCTCCTGCTCAAGACAGAAACGGCAGAAAGCGCATCCTGTTTGTTTTCTTTATTTTACAAAAGCACAATGTTTTGTTGATATTGTGAGTTCACACAAGTAAAAGTAGACACTTTACAGTTCCGAGTGATGTATTAATTTGACCTTTATGAGCAAAAATGACTGCATATTTTAAGTTGTTTCTACTGTAAGGAAAAAATGCAAGTTATTGTGAAATGCATTTATCTAGGTTAAACGTTTAAACTAGCATTGTGATATTGAACTGTTTAATATCTATAGATTTTATTTTAGTGAAGTCGTGATGAATTTCGAAGGCTAAATTGATCCAACATAGGCTATGATCAACTCACTGTCTGCTGCTGGTCATTACTTAAAAAAATAAATAAACCACATTTAACGATTTTCTAAATTGACTTGATAAAAAACAAAATGAATTATCACTTTTCCATATGCAAAACTGAACCATTTTAATAGCTGAAACAGTAGTATAGGCTGTTTTGGGAGAAGAGGAAAAAAAAGACTGACTCGGGCCAAGAATTCTGATAAGCTGTAGGACAAGGGCCGGGCTAGGGCCTATATTTGAGCCCCGTGCAGGATTCTAATCCACTTCATCAACGCTGATTTGTTCTCTGTTGTTTTCATCTATGAGCATGTTCATGATAGATGTATTTTACCTTTTTTTTGTTTTGTTTAAAACGTGTGACACATTCGTTCTGCTCTCAATGATCATTTGGTCCTCAGGACAAAAAAAAAAATCTCTGTGCGTACTCTCGGAAGAAATCCTGCAGGCGCCCCTGCTGGTTACTGTAGGTATAGTCACAGCAGCACGACAGATACTTAGATGCTGGGAGGATACACAATCTCCTACAATTAGTATGTGGTTTGAATCAATGATTGAGAGTGCCTCATATGAAAAAAAAAATGTTAGCAAGACTGAATGGAAATCACACAGATACAGACAGTTGTGAGAAATGTATTATGTCTGTTTTTTTTTCAATTCATTCATCCTGCTGTGTTTTATTTCTCTCTGCTTTTTTAAATTATTTTATTGTGCCTGTTGTGTTAACCTCTGAGTTTGTCATGTATAGGGAAACTCAATAAAAACTTAATTTTCAATTGTTGGCTGCATTATTTATTAAGACTTTCTTTATTAGCAAATAAAAAGCATCAATTCATCATCGCATTTTTTCTTGCAGTAAAATGTGACAGAATTGACTTTAACAGGATGAATAGAACTTATTGAAGGCTCATTTAAATAGGCCGTAAAAATCATATAAAGCTTGACTGCTGTTATTGAAAGAACTTGCCAATGGTGCAAAATAGACAACCAATAAAGAGCAACACTGGTGTGTGAAGTTTTGACTGCACCTGTTCTGTACTTCCACAGGGAAAGTTAGAGGAGAGGAAGCCATTTATGGTACTCTTTGATGAAGTTGCCATGAACTACATCCTGTCTGCTGCACAGTGAGTAAACGTCTTGCTCTAAATCAGGGTTCCTAAATCCGGAGGGGCACTGTCTTCTAGGTTTTAGCTCAATCCCAGATCAAACTCACTTGAAATTTTTTAGTAACTCTGAAGTCCTTGTCTGCGTCCAAAATCTGAAAAAAAAGCTTACTCTGCATGTGACATTAGAAAGGCAACAAAGCATGTCCAAATCCAATGATTGTGTCACATCCTGTGATGTACCTTAATCTGATCATTTTTTGAAGGCAGCATAGATGTATCTTTCACTGCCTGTAATGTCCCACTTTCCTGTGCATTCCATTCTGTGACAGTTGCGAATGAATGAATGAATAAATTGTGTGGCATCTGAAACTTGTGATAGGTATTCAGTTGTGTGTAAATGTTTTTGATTAACTTTTTTCCAGTTTTGATGTATTTCTAGCAAGAAATTAGTATAGTAATAATTAAATATTAACGATTATATTAATATTAATATTAATATTCACCATAGAAGAGAAAACACTCAATCTGCCCTGATCTGATGTTTCCAGCACATGTAGATTATATTATGCCAAATTACTGTATTATATTACTTAGATGTATATTTTGCTTCTGTAAATATGTCTAATCCCTTATTTTAATTTCTAGTAGGGATGCACTGATACCACTTTTTTCAGTACTCGCCCGATACCGATACTTTTATTTTTGGTACTTGCCGATATCGAGTTCCGATACCAATATTTTTATTGCAT